CGTCAGACAACCTGTAGTTGTCTAAATTTCACTTAAAATTAACACTTATTATTTAGTTAAATAAAATGATGGGAAAATCTTGATTTTTATTCAGTAAATAATGAACTTATAAAGGTGGCTCCTTAGTATCGCCGCTGAAAATCTGGTATTCTATACTATCTTAAGCCGGGATAAAGCGGCGCGAATCGCGAATTGACACACGAGGACACACTTTTCCACGATGTCGCCTACGTTCGCCAGATTAACGCCGGAGCTGGTATATTTCCGCGAGCGGTCGAGATTGCGAGTGTCACGCTAGGACGTGCGTGCGTAACTACGTGCCTGCATGCATGCGTGCGCGTCGTATACCGCGGTGCTGCATGTTGCAAAAATAAGGAACAGTGGGCGCGCGATGCTCGCTGTGCCTCGTCGTACATTAAAGTCTACATTCTGGGAGCCGCGTCGTGACGCGCTTTTAAAAATGGCTCGCTCGCTCGCTCGACATGCACGCACGCTTATTTTCGATAGTTCGTGATAGTTCCTGAAATTTATCGTCACGCTATTCGGCGCGGGGAGAACGCCTCCGAACGAGGGAAACCGATTGTTCGCGTAAGCAAATACACATCCACGCAAGGTTATTATTATATTTGTTTAAACCCTTTCAGGGATACGTACTGGCACAATTGTGCACGCTTAGATACGTTCAGAGTTTTCTGTTTTTATTCAAACGTTGCCGACAAAATATCGGATCGTCGATAAAGATTTAACGGACGTTACCGTGAATAATATTCACCGCACAATTTCACTCGCGAGCCAAAAAATTGAGATCTCGTCATGTGATTGACGGGTGTCGTGTTTATGTAATTTTTAAATTAAAGCAGTTTCTTCTGACTTTCATCAATTTGTTCTCGAAGAGATTCATTTTTGTCGCCTTATTGTTATTATTATATAAAAATATCGGCACTCCGTAACACGCGTCGTTAGAGATCGCTCGCGACATATCTCTTTTTTTCTTTTTCCTCGCTGCTCTTTTTTATCCTTCATCCGACGCGCGCGACATTGGCATTTAATCGTGCGATTATTCTTAACGTTTCAAAAAAAGCAAATGTCGCGTTTAATAATGGCCGCGAATTTTTATGCCGCTCATTGATCAGCCGGGCGTGTCGAGTCTCACTCCGTTTTACGCGAAACGCGAAGAAATAAACCGCGGGCGTGAGCGCGCGCCTAGGAACTGCGTTCTTTTATCGCCGATGATTGGACTCGCGATATTCTGGAGCCGCGAGGCGTCCCCCCTCCCTCCTCCGCCGTCGCCGAGTCGGAGCGAAACGCGATTTTCAGCGGCTGACTAGCTCCAGCTTAACCCATAATTCGTGCCTAACGACCTTTTAACGGTTTTTCCGCGTGTCCGCCGGCCCGCAAACGAGCCACCACTGTCGGCGCGAGCGATAAAAAGCGGCGTTATTACTCGCGGTAGCGCGATAAGTCCGCTCGGGAAAACGCGCCGCCAGATCCCATTGTCATTCCGTACTCGCGCGGCCACGACCGCCGAACGTGTTCGACCTCCTCGGCTTCTTCGGAGCCTTCGGTATTAAATAATAACTTTAGGAACAAGTTCGACGTTAATCATCGAAATCCCGCTCGCCAAAGACCCGGCGTACCCGAGTTGAAATTTGGGCCCTATGTTGAAACTTTAATTGTACACAGTGGAAGGCGAAGATAGCAGAACAGGTTTCACCGAAATCATAGTTGTTTTCAACCACATCCTTTTTCGGTTTTGAATATCTATTGATTCAGCAGCACTTTTTTTCCGTATAAAGTTAGAGATTCAAGAGAGAAATCAATAAGTGTCGAATAAGTGTCAAAGTGAGTTTTTATCAGTCTACGGGGCATCTGATTAGGCGCAAACCTTCAGAGCGTCGAAGCAACAAAATTTCAATTCGGTTTACGAGAAGCTTTGCACGCGCGCGCGTGTTCGCCATTTATATTTTCCGCCGGGACGATTTAATACCGCGCGCCGTACGTAGAACGTAGCGCGGCGGCGAGGATAAAACCGTAATAACGGTAAGCGAGAAAGGACACAATAAAGCGCGTGGACGAGCGAGCGACGTGTCCTCGACGAAAAGTAATAAAAGTATTGTCACGCGCGCATCGCGTCACCGGCCACATTGTATAACAAATTACCGTTGTCTCTAATGGCAGCCCGCGTGGAAAACTCGTTATTAGGCGACGGTACAGTGATTTGCGTTCCCCCCTCTTCCCTACGCGTCTGTTTTGTACACAACGTGTGTATTTCAAAAGCGCGTCTTTGTGAACGAAAGAGGAAAAACTGGTCGGTCGATGCTGTGTAATTTGACAATAATTTAATCTTCATCCTTTGACAATTTTGACGACATGCTTTCGCGACATCATGTTTCGTTCCAGCCGGACTTACGATCCATATTTTTTTCTACATTCATTTATTACTAATTTTATCACTTTACTTTATATACAATATTAACTTGTCAATTTTACACTTCAACTGTATTTTCCCTTTTTCCCTCTCTCTTGAAGGAAGCATTTTTTGTTAAAAAACAAATGCCTAAATAGAGATTAAATAATAATCATAACGTGATCGGTGCACGAAACGTCAAGCACGATTGTTCAACAACGAAAACACCAGTGTTCATTCGAAAGCACTCAAAAGCACGAACGTCGATGCAAAAGTACCTTGGGACGGGTAGAGTATCGATATCTCTGAAGTATCGTGGCGCAGTCGCGATGTCCTCCCCCTCCTCTGTCTGTCTCTCTTTCTCTCCCTCTCTACCTCCCTGCAGTGGCGGCGAACGTGTGTCACGGTCGGTTTGTCGCGTTACACACTTTTACGAGCCTATTTCCGGCGACGGAATTGCCAAATCGCATCGCGCGCGGCTTACAGGACCCCGGCGCGCACCGCGGAATATCGACCGGATTAAACAAATCGGCCGGGCGTGCATTAACGCCCGGTTTTACGGCCGTTCGGATATTTATCGTGTCGCTCGGCTTCCTAGGAAAGCTCGTCGTCCCCGGTGCGGTTATACGACGTTCGTCCGCACATCGATTCCCTGCGGCCGACGTTTATTTTTCCGACCGGACCCCGCGCTCGCTCGCGGCATCGAACGACGATGTCCGAAGACCGGAAGACTTGGAGCTTCTCGGTGTCGTTAAAGACGTAATATCGAAGTATCCGAATATAGACGCAGCTGCCGCCGGCGCGATAAAACGCCTGCGATGCGTTACGTGAGAATTCCTACACGAGCGCGTAATACGTCTCTCTCTCTCTCTTTCGAAGTTGTAAGAAAAATATAATCTGAGAGGTGGGAATCTAATCTCATAAAATATATTTTATAAACTTCACATTCGGAAAATGTGTATTTTTATTAATACTTGATAATCTTCAATTTTAATCTTTCGCGCGAAAGATTTTTTTATTAATTCGGTTAATATTTATCTTCTTTTAACGCACACGGCGTTCAGTTATTGTTCAGTTCGGTGAGATTACACTCTCTAAATTTATGTACTCCGAAGTAGACGTCCGACGTAAATCGCTAGGGGAATATGTTGAATAGAGCGGTCTTTCATCGCGTCGCCGATAAGAGGATCGGCGATGACAATATACCGCAGACTTCTATGGGATTGGTGACTACCATTGGAAGAAGTAGGAGTAACGTTCGTCACTTTCGTCACTCCAAGGCTCCGATTCCCGCGTCCGTCGAAAGCAAACGCCGCGGACTTCTCTCGAACGCACGCTCGAGCGGAGAATATTTATATTGAGCGCACGTGTATATTTGACGTTCTATCTTGGCTGTCGCGACCGATTCCGGAAACTCTCGCGTCACCAGGGAGAGCAATCTCGAATATACATCGTATATCTGTAAGCTCTTGCGTTAATATATTCCCCGTGTATTTCTGCATTGAGCGTTACGCGAGTGTGACGCACACACATGCGCGCGCGCGAATGGCGTGGCACCGGAGAGATTATTTTTCTCTTTAGCTAGCTTGGCACATATATATATTCAAATTATTATTTTAATGTGTAAAGCGACACCGTACACGCGATGTACGCGCCATAAATAATGCTTCTATCTCGTTGACCTTCTCAGGAAAAATGCACTCGAACACGAGGGGGAAAATTGACTAAAGTCATGTCTGTGAAACACGCCTTTCTATTTATCGGAAAAGTCAGCGTGACCCATCTGTCCGCGCCCTTCCGTGGCCCGAAAGCTCGTAAAGATAAGCGTGTAAAACACGCGGCGCTCGTAACAGGAACGTCGAACGGGTCGGAACGGTATAATCGATGTGTACTCCTGTGTTGATGGTAGGTCGCGGTTTGTGAACCCTTTGCGCTCCAAGCACGCCGTAGCGACCATCAAAAATGTCTCGTAAAACTCAAAGGACGCCGCGAACGCGTCTTCCGGCTTTGAAATCTAAATTTCAACCAGCTGTGTGACGCTAATTTGGAAGCTGACTTGAAAGGCGCCGAAATATGACGTTCTTCGAGATATATGAGGTAGAGTCGCCACGCACCCTTGGAGCGCAAAAAGGTCGTCGTTGACCAGATAACGATTTTTTTTCTGCTTTTTCTGGAAAGACTCGCACGCTCGATTTCGTACGATCAACAAGGAAGAACTTTTCGGGCCCCGTCTTTGTCATATTTATTCGCTCGTATGCTCAATTTTCCTCTTTTCTTTCTCTCTCTCTCTCACACATATACACACGTACACGGTCGTCGATAGACACCGTTGTGTCACGCGTTTTATTATCCCCGTTATTATCATCGACGCTCCAACGCCAGTAGCATATTTTTACTTTAATCTTATTTTTCGAAAATCCATTACGCCGAGATTGTTTACTCGCTGCAGTAATCGCGCGATTGCTCACCTCGGCGTGAGGATATAATGGACATAGGTGTGCATTACCGCTGGTGTAATTTACTTATGCCCGGTAAACTGTCGCGCGGGAATATCGGCTTTATTTATGACAGGCTATCGATTTTGTATTTTTAGGTTTGCCAGCGTTGTTCCCGTGGGATTTATCGCGACAGCCGCAACTGTTGATCGGAGATGCAGAACTGGTGAGTGATCCATGCTTCTGAATAAACAAAAAAGTCTACATTAAACCACACACACACACTACACGGATTTTCATTTTCATGTGTACGCGCGTGTGTACTTTATATACATTACAGTCGCGGAAACTGTGAAAAGCAAATAGAAAACGTGTTGCAAGTGACAACGGAATATACACGAAGCTACGATCAAGTTTAAACGTTCGTCCGACTAAAAAGTGCTAGGGATTTATTACGAGTTATTAAACTATCAAAATGTAAAACGAGCGGGTCAAATAGTCGCGATATGCGCGCGTGTGCAGGCACGATGTGACCGATCGGAAAGTTCGAAGTTCGCGAATTCGTTAGTGAGTATCAATGAGTTTCGGAGTGAGCTTCAACTTTTGCAGACCGGTAAACACTCGCGAGGCTTTAGCTTGATGCACCGCGAAACGATAATTCCGTGAGAGAGGCGGGAGAGCGGGCAAAAAAATATGAAAAACGCGCGGAGGATACTCCATCTGTCTGCTCACGTCGGTTCGCATTTCCCATTTTGCATCGCGGGGTCTCCCTTTCTCTTTCGCCAGAGACCCGAAACGCGTTCTGATAGATCGCCGGAAATCATAAGTCATCGCGAGCAAATTGAATCGCGCAACAAATAAGGATGAATGCGCGGGAAGCGGGGCCTCTCCCGTGCGGCGGTGCTCTAGTGTGTGTGTGTGTGAGTGATTTTTCTCGCTCGCTCCGCGAGATATCACAGTGGATACAGATTTATTTTCTCGCCCGTAGGTGTATGTACATATGCGCGTTATATCGCGCAGAAACAGCTTGTTCCCCGCGAACGGCTGCGGGGCCGGCCATATTACGTCCGCACGTATGCGTTCTCGTTCATCCTTCGAAATAGTTATTCGGTCGCGCAGTTACTGTCTCGGCCGCCGGCATTAAGCGTACACACATTTTACACGCGGAGCATGCAAATTGCCGTTTTGCACGTAATCTACGCAATTTGCGGACTACACTTTTTACGGCGCTCGCGATTGGCTTCCTACCGGTTTTGCCTGCTCTTACCACTGTTGTGTCTTTTACATGTTTTTTTTTTTTATTTTCGTTTCTCGGTAAGTCCGGCACGCGAGGAAAAGCTGGGAACGTTTCCGAAGAGAACGACGTGTGTGTGTGTGTGTATGCGTCGTTCGCGAAAATCGCTTCGGTAATTAGTCGGCGGATCAACGCGATCTTTTGGGACTTTCGTTTCTCGCCTCTTTATCGCGAGGTTCGACGATGCTCTTCTCGTTTTCGCGCCCGGTTTTCAGATCCGGGAAATCGCATCGTTGCCGTTACTTTCAACGACAACGATCGAATTCTCGAGATTGCATTCGCATCTCACGAGACACGTTCTTTTGCTTTACATCGAATAGGAGGGGGGGGGGGGGCACTTGCAAAGCCAATTTCGCGGAATTCGCACCTAGTATCGCACGTTCTTCGCGTAATTTCCGCATCATACCGAAACGAGAGCGTCTACTCTGCCCACTTATATCTCTATCTACTCTCGAGCCAAACTTTCTCTGGAAAATCACGACGAAGTTCGCTAGCGAGACATACATACCGTCCGTGTCTCTCGCGCTGTTCCCGCAAAATTCGCCCGTAAGCGTTCGTGTGATGAACGTGCGCGCTCGGAGAGAGCTAATTTTCAAACAATTCGGCCAAACGAGACTTAATATATGCCGTCGGATCGGAAATGGCTCGGTCGCGGGGAAGGAGTTCAGGGGATCAAGTTCGGACCCCACTTCCGGCCGCGGGAGTCACGAAATTCCTGGGGCAATTTCAGGGAGAATCGAATGAGAGTCGGAGAGTGGCGAAAGAGCCCCACGGCGAAGGGTGGAGAAGTTGCTAGATGACGGTGGTGAGCGGAGAAGGAGGGGGGGTCTTTCCCCACGAGTAAAGGAGATAATAGGGGACATATCCTCGACCCCTTCGCTCGCCACCGCCGCCCCTTTCGAAATAGCTATTCTGTCGAATCTTCCGCGCGTATTACCAGCTAACGGTAAATGTCCACATATATCTGTGCTCACCGTAATGGATATAGTCGAGCGAAACGGCGGGGGTAGGTATGTAGGTAGGTAGGCAGGTCGTACCTGCGCCAATTAGTGTCAAACTACCGGAATTGGGGCCGAACAAGGAGAGAGAGGGAGAGAAAGAGAGCGAGCGAGAGCGAGAGAGGTCGGTGAGAGGGTCGTCGGTGTAGCCGGGCTGTTTCGGGGACGATAAATTTTTGGCGAATCGATTTAATCCGCGCGGATGGAGGCGAACCGTCTGATTAAATTATCCGAAGTGAAACGGCCGCGTAATCGCGCCGTATCAATCTTCCTTATTGCGTTATCGCGACTCGGACGACTTAGCGGGAATTTAGAAATCGGCGATCGATGCTCGGTGCCACGAAGGGTGGCTTAAAGGAAGTAAGGAGGGGAAGGTAGAGGGGAATTAATGCGGTCGGCGTAAACAATGACAGGTCGCGCTTGAATCCGCAACTCGGCCTGTCGAAAAACAATCCCCGATCGATCTCGAATCTATTTTCTCGCCCGGCGAGACAGTCGCGGCGAATGTCAATTGAAACAATCAAGACGGCGAAAGTAGAGAATAAACGTCGCCTGTCAAAAATGTTTTATCGGTAACTCGCGCTTTGTTAAAAATCCGTACATACAAAAACATTCGCGGCAATTCAAGACTTATATTCTCACGTACATAATCAACAATATGTAATCGTATATGAAGATAAAATATGTTTACATATACATGAAGTAATTACATTTATAACTCGAATAAGAATATCCTATTTTTGTTATTCAAGAATAATTTTTCTGAAATGAGGAGAAAAAATATTGGATATGAGAAAAATGATATCTTCAAATTGATTTAGTTCTTAATTTAAAGATGTCGATCTTCCTATCAGTGATGTCAATTTCGATTCAAGTACTTTTTCAGTAATTGAGTATACGTCTAAGTTCAGTTATTATTATCTGTTATTGTTAGAAAATTCAATCATTTATAACGTTTGAAATTAGCCGTCTACTCAGTTACTGAAAGATTCGGATAGTCGAAATTGACAGCACTACTTTCTATCCAATATGATTCCTTCTTAATTCATGAAAATTATTTTTGAACAACACGAGAATAGGATATTTTTAGTGGAATTATATGTAATAACTTCATGTATATATAAGAGTAAGTTTTATCTTCGTATAGGATTCTTACTCATATAGGATGTCTAACGCACAGCTTTAAGTTATTAATTATTGAAAATGTCCACATATATAGAGGTTTTTTTAATAATTCAAAAATGTGCGTAGTTATTTGTAAATTGGTAAAGGATTTTCTTGCTCAGAATGGCCTAATTTATAAATATATGATGGACGGAACGGTTTGCGTCGGACATGAGAGTGAGTTTTAAATCGATACAAATTTTTTTCTGTGTAATCGATTTTACATAACCGACTGTATGCACGCAGACCGAACATAAACATGTTTATTTGTTTATACATCCTTATGTACTTTTTATTTAATTTATATGCGGAAAGACTCATATTAGTATATGATAAATGCTCAAAATAAAATATGTCTCCAATAAGAACCTTGTTGACACGTAACAGTGACACGGCTCTTGTGTTCTCGATTGTTTCAATCGATTTGCATCCGAAGAGCCGCCGGCAAAACTATTCTTCGTATCGGACGCGTTATCTTCGTTCGTAACTTTTCGATGTTTCGATCGACGGACAGACCACGCGAGCTTAAGTTAACACGCCGTCGATAAATCCGCTGAAGGCGAGGATACGCGCACGATCGGTTTCCCGTGCCGGGAATGCCGACGTATTATACGAGCGTAATTGCGGCGCACTGAATGCATAGTGCAATGCGACCACGGCCTGTCAATCACGACCTCGTAAAAAACCGCCCGTAGCCTCGTTGAAAACACCGCGGCGACGTGTTTGTCGGCTGCTGCGAGCGACGGAGCGAGCAAATCCGCGCGTGTGTGTGTGTGCATGCGCGCGCGATCCATATCGGCCTCGGTCGGCCACGTGTAACAGTCGCGTCCACGAATAAACTATGTAAACTGTCTTTTTGCACCGTGCACACGCGGTGACATAATCAATGCGGATAACTCGCGCACTTCGACATATCGATGTCGTTTTCGACGCGCCGTCTCGTCTCCGGCGGATCGCAAGCTCGGCGAAGTGCAGAATATATTCGCACACTTTTTCAACACGTCGCGAAATCAATCGACTTGTAAATTTTCCGGAAAAAAATAAACCGACGACTCGACGGTATTCGCGCTGTCCGGACAAATCAATTCGCCAGTGCGCGATTTCCGGGGAGACGATTTTCATAATGTTGATAACCACCGGCCGATCTGATCAATTTTCTTCTTTTTTCCTCAATTTTCTTTTATTCATTTTAATACATACGATCAGATTTAGAACATACGATTAATGCGCCAAGCCTTTCAAAAGTGAGATATTCACAAAATGTGGAGTCGATCGACTTAGCTTTTGACCGGGAGGCTCATATCGCTCTCTCTCTCTCTCTCTCGAAGTTATTTTACGCTCTCCTTTGTTTTCTCTCCATCTTGTAAAAATTCTCTACGCGGAAGTGCTCTATTTACCAGCGTATTTGTCTAATCGCAGCGATAACGTCGCTCATTAATTTTCACCAGTCCGCCAGATTCGGCGGACGCGCCGGCCGGCTCGTATTTACCGGCGATAATACGCGCGTACGGACGTGCAGATAATGCGCGTTCCGCGCGCGCGGCGATTTATCGGCGGGTCTTGAAAGTCGATGATCGATCGTGCTTTGTCGAAACGCGAGAGATCCTATCGCGCCCGGGGCCTCGCTATTATCTGTCTCGACGCGAACACACATTCGCGATTCCGCGAGCACTCCGTCGTCGGAGACTCGAGGACGTCGAATTGTTGCTGCGATAATGTTTTACTTACATACAATGTTTGTGTTTGCACACCGTGCCGTGATTTATCGGG